ACCTGCCTCTCATTCTGCTTTTTTTCATCCAGCCTGCAGATGGCAGAATTGTTTTATTTAAACAGCAGTTTTAAAGGTTTAGTTTATTTAGTGAGTTCTTACAGCAGAATGAGGGGTAATTAAATGAATATTCTCCTATTAGTGGATAAGCAAATTAATGTAAGGGACAGGGAGCCACACTAAGCATTTAATGGGTAATTTGCTTCTTCGCTTTTGTCTACCTTCATTTCACAGTTTTTACATGTGTGGCATGTAGTTCTCTAAATGGACTAGAGAGCATGACACTTAAGCTGTGCCGTATGTAAACTGTTGAATTTCTCTAATTTAGTCAGAGTAATGGAGCTTAGATCTGCTTTGCATTATAGCCACAGAACAATTTGTCGTACATTTGTATTTTTAAGAGTTTGCATATATTAATTTCTCTTTTAATGTGGAGACCTTTTAGAATTCCTGTATGAATTATCAATTTAAATCATTCATATGAGTGTTTTGTTCTTAGAATAAAAGAAATACTTTAGGGAACACGGAATTAGAGTTAGATTACTGTGCCATATTTGAAATTCAAGTCAGAATTATGCTGTAGAAAAAATGGGAGGGCATATTCAAAGAGACACAGAAGTTACTTAGAGAAAGTACTATAAAATTCAGGGATTGGGGCCGGGGAGATAGCTTAGTGGGATAGGGCCTGAGTTCAATCCCTGGTACCACCAAAATAAATAATAAAATTCAGGGATTGACTACTGTTATGGCAGGTAAAGCAGCACAGACAAGCAATTGTAATTTATTGTGTCATTCTGTTGAGGCAAAAAGAAATTTAAGAGATTTTGACAGTTCTTGTGATTTGTGAGATTTTTAACTTTTAAAATTAGTATGTTTAAATGAAAACTTTTAGAAATATGTAATATGATACTTATGTTAACATTTTTAATGTTTTATAACTGCTGCACAACAGCCGACTTTACAGGTTAATTAGTTATAATTTGTTAGCTCTATGAAATGGAACAGAATACTACATTACTACAGAATAATTAAACTCTTTAACTAAATTTTGCACACTTTTGAGGATAATTGAAATATCCTGTACCAGTTGAAAAAAGAATTACATTTCCTTTATTGTAGTTCTTTTCTTACCTGTAGTTGGGGCATTAATGTTAGTTGGAAATACTGTACATTTCAAGGTCTTTAGTTTGAAAAGGTAATGGTGTAATTTATTGCCTTTTAGAATGAAGAGAGAGGCTGTAATGAATATCTGATGAAAAATAAAGCAGGTACCAGTTAAAATTCCATTCCAGGGATTCTAGAAAAACTCATACTGTTTTAAAAGCATTAGAGCTGGGCATCAAAAGTGGCATATTACTGTAATCCAAGCACTTTCTATAAGGCTAGCACTTGGGAAGGAGGCTGAAGCAGGAGGATAGCCATGAGTTTGAAGCCAGCCTGGGCTACA